ATAATAATTGTATATGTTTAAATAACTTTTAAAATATAATTGGTTTGTAATTCAAAGGATAAATGCTAGAGGAGATGGATACCCCGTTCTTCATGATGTGCTTATTTCACATTGCATAACTATATCAAAACATGTTCTGTATCCCATAAATATATACATTTGTGTGCTTACTATGTACCCACAGAAATTTCAAAAAAGAAAAACTCACAAAACTATTAAAAGGTGAAGAAAAATCAAGAAAAAATGATTTCAAAATCAATGCCACACCACAGTCTCCTGTGGTTGACATTATTCTTAGTTCTACCATGAAGTCTATATATCCTTGGGCCCCTGGACTAATATGAGCTTAGTATACCCTAGAAAATTCAAGACTAGTAAATGCAGCCAAACTCACAAAACTGAAGCATATTATCATATAGGGCTCTCGTGAAGTCTGCTAAGATTTAATGTAGTACCTGTCATAGAGTGAACCCTTAACTGTTGTTGGATGTGGTATAGCATAGTACTAAAGAACTTTAGAACTGGGCCATGCTTTTAAAGGCTTTGCCTCTGATTCTCGTTGCATTTAATTTAAAAATCTGCATGCTTATTTTAACTGTGCAATTATTCACCACCATATTTGTTGTGTAACACTAGCCAATCAACAATAAGGGATGAGAATCTCTGCTAATTAAACAAATTCCCCTCCTTTCTTTGGAAACACAATTGAGTCAATTATTCACATTTTTTTTTTTTTGTATTTAGGAATAATTTCTACTACTAATTTATTCTCAGTGGAATTCTGCATTCAAATAAGAAATCAACAATGATTGTAATAATTGGAGAGTGTGAAATTTAACAATCCTTCCTTTTTCATCAGTGAGGAGTTGTTTAATTTTACTTAAACATTTTAGATTTAGCCTTCAGCAATAAAATTAGTTAACATAGGGAATGCTTACTAACACATGCATGTGCACACACACAAGTCATGTTCACGTAGAAATGCTAGTTTTAGCATGCCAACTGAATATTGATCAAAATTGCCTGAAATTTTCAGGAAGAAAAACTGTATATATAAATAAAACTTTTGGAAAGTTTAAAACTGTTTGGCTGTATCTTGTGTGTAATCTTGTACCTCTCTTTTCACACCAACGTCTCAGAGGCGAAGAGGGTCAGAGTGTTTCTTTGATGAGTTTCTCTAAAGGTGGCAGTAAAATGAATGCCTGGCAGTGTCCTACTTTGAAAGCCATATGCCCAGGGAGGCTGAGAGAATCATGGCATCCCCAGAACACTTCCTTAGTAGCCAAGGACAGCACTTCACCTAGAATGAATCCTCCTTGCTGGGGGAAGAATATAGCAGGCATAGAGAGATGTTTGTCATTTGGTGATATCTCTGAGTGGGAATGTCTCAAGCTCTTATGAAGTATGAAGTGCAAGGTCCATTTCTAAGTACTAGAAACATCTTGCTGTGAAAGCACATGATGTCAGGAGTTAAGAACTCTGATGACACCACACAGGAAAATGTGGCAATGTGATCACCAGTCTTCTTAAATGACCTTGCAGATGGCTATTACTGTACCGCTGAAGTCCAGTGCCCGTGATTTATGTTTCCCCATTGTGTTATCAGCTCAAAAAAGTATTGCCACAATTACAGCTAAAGGTACTAACAGAAAAATTATCTTCTGGGTGGGTGCACATTTTTTCAGTCTCAACTTCCAAAAATTGGTCATCGAGCAGTGTGAGTTTCTGTCTTTCTGTCTCAGCTTTCATCTTTACTTCATTGTAGACATCTGAGGTGTATAGAATGAATACCTCAGGGTTCTGGTTGCCCTTGTGAAGTTGTTGTCACACACCATTTCAGTAAGAAAGTATGCCTGGCTGGGCGCGGTGGCTCACGCCTATAATCCCAGCACTTTGGGGGGCAGAGGCGGGCAGATCACCAGGTCAGGAGATAGAGACCATCCTGGCCAACATGGTGAAACCCCATCTCTACTAAAATGCAAAAAATTGGATGGGCATGGGGGTGTGCACCTGTAGTCCCTGCTACTTGTGAGGCTGAGGCAGGGGAATTGCTTGAACCCAGGAGGCGGAGACTGCAGTGAGCCAAGATTGTGCCACTGCACTCCAGCCTGGGCAACAGAGTGAGACCCCATCTCAAAAAAAAAAAAAAAAAAAAAGTATGCTTAATATCAGAAATCAATATTGTCCCCTGATCTATATAGATTTCTGGGTAATTCTTCCCTTTACATTTAATAATAGCTTCTGCTAAGCTTGCAATGTCCTGTGGGGTTCGTGTCATCTGAAATGTGACACATGGCCCTTCCATCAAGGAGGTTTCTTGTCATGCCTCAGAGATCAAGTCCTGGATTGATGTAATTCACATTTCTCATTGTTCTGTAACTCCACACTGTCAGAATAATTGGCATTTTCGGACCCGACGGCCACAATAAGTTGATGAAATGCCTTGCAGTACTTTGTTAGATATTAAAGAAGTGTTCCTGGGATCTCTTCATTTAGTTTTTCAATTCCTCACATGAATAAAACATGATGGAAGTCCTTGGTTTCAGTTTTCATCATAACACCTACTGTCATCTCAGAATCTTGACTTCTTGTTTCTGATTCATGAAACTCAATATACTGAGTCATAAAGTAAATATTTATTATGCTCTCTTCAATGTCTTTGAACACTGGATCCATCATATAGTTCCCATAGCTGTGATAAGCTGCTGCTGGTGCTGATGGGATGTACAGAAATATGTTTTGTTTCCTTGAACTTCTGAGCCAGCTCTTCATGACACTTGGCTACAGCTTCTTCCCCTCCTGATGGAGTGCAGGAACCAAGACTGTTAAAGGCTGCACTGCACACCTTTTCAAAGGACCCTAGAGCCCTCAGGATTTCTGTTCTGGGAAACTCGAAATGCTCTAAAGAATAAAGTCTAGTTTGTAAAAATTTAAATAAGTCTCTCCAGTAAACTGCCTTTCACAGTAAAAAGTGGTCTCTTGTGGTTCTCACATATTTTTCACTGTTTAGCATAATATTATAAACCTTAAATAACACCATGGAAATCACTTGAAGTCCCATGAGTCATACCAAAGGGCTCCCAAGAAGTAAAGTTATGACAATACAAGGAAAAGTTGAATTGCTCGATATGCACCACACACTGAGGCCGACAGCTGTGGTTGCTCACCATTTCAGATAATTCTTCATCTTGGAAACAGATGATGTAAGCTTATGGTATCAATAAGTACAACACGGAACAATAAATAGATGCCCTCTTCCTTACGATTTTCTTAAAAGCTTATTTTATCTAGGTTACTTTTTGTTCACTTTTATTTTAGGTTCAGGAGTATATGTGCAGGTTTGCTATATAGGTAAATTGTGTGTCATGGGAGTTTTGTGTACAAGTTACTTTTTGTCACCAGCTAATAAGCATAGTACCCAATAGTTTTTCAATCCTCACCCTCCTCCTACCTTCCACCTCAAGTGGACCATGGTGTTTGCTGTTTCCTTCTTTGTGTCCATATATAAGCAATGTTTAGCTTCCACTTATAAATGAGAACATGTAGTATTTGGTTTTCTGTTTCTGCATTAGTTTGTTTAGAATAATGGCTTCCAGCTGCAACCATGTTGATACAAAGGACACAATTTCAGTCTTTTCAGTGTCTGGGTAGTATTCCACGGTGTGCATGTACCACATTTTCCTGATCCACTCTACCAACCATGGGCATTTAGGTTGATCTAATGTCTTTGCCATTGTGAATAATGCTGTGTGAACATATGCATGCATGTGTCTTTACGGTAGAATGATTAATATTCCTTTGGGTTTGTATATGCTCAATAATGGGACTGCTGGGTCAAATGGCAATTTTGTTTTAAGTTCTTTCAGAAATTGACAAACCACTTTCCACAATGACTAAGCAAGTTTAAATTCCCACGAGAAGTGCATAGGCATTCCCTTTTCTCCATAACCTTGCCAGCATCTGTTACTTTTTTACCTTTTAATAATAGCCATTCTGACTGGTGTGAGATGGTGTCTCACGTGGGTTTGACTGGCATCATGAAGAATAGCTAGTGGATGCTGGGCTATTATTAATACCTACATGATGGGATGATCTGTGCAGAAAACCACCATGTTACAGATTACATATGTAACAAACCTGCACATATTGCACATGTACCCCTGAACTTAAAATAAAAGATGGAAATAAAAAATAATAATTGCAGGTCACCTGACAGAACGCAGTAAGAAGATCATGGGATCACTTCTGTGATACTCTTGCCAAAGAAAAGTTTCATCTAAATCTTGTCATAATAAAAACTTAGAGAAATCCAATGGAGGGACATTCTGTATTACTGAACTTTACTCTTCAAAAGACTTAAGGTCATAAAGGTCAAAGAAAAACTGAGGAACTGTTCCAGACTGAGAGAGTCATGACAACTACGAAGAACATTGTAGACAATTAACAAAACTTGAAAAGAAACTGAGAATTAAATGATCGAATGTATTCATGGTAACTTTCTGATTATGAAGTAGTTATATTAAATGTCCTAGCTTGCAGGAATACCTACTAAAGATATCAGATGTGATGGCGTAATGTCAGCAATTTACTCTCAAATGCTCCCCAGGGCTAAAGTTATTTTTCCTAAAATCTAGAACTTTTCTCCAATTTTAAGACTGTTTCCCAAAAGTTAATCAAATAAAGAAATGAAAAAATAAATAGAAAAAGCAAAAAGCCTTAGGCAAACCTTATTTGTCCACAAGGAAAGGTCCATATAAATCAGTGCTTAAAATTAAAATTATATAAGTTTGATTGCACTATAACAATCATAATACATCTGAACATGGACAATGTCCATGGTACCAGTATACCAAAATGACACCTATCGAAACTTAAATCTATCAATATACATAAAGATAAAAATTATAAAACACAAACCATCAGTTGATTCCACAAAAGTATTAATGGCAACTTGATTATTTGGCTGTTTAAACAGCTAACATTTGGGCAGTTTGAGTATGTAAAATTCAATACTGATTTTCATTTGTAAAATCCACTGAAAAGTTAGCTGAAGAGGCCAAGAAACATTTTTTTAAATACTACATAAATTCTGATCAGACATGCATAATATGAAATATTTTCCTTTAATAAAAATGTTCACATCATATATTTAATGGGAAACAAAATATCAAGTGAACAGCCTAGAAATAAAATTGCCTTATCTTTCAGATCATGTACTTTCTGTTCACAATCTGTGCATATTCTTTTGCTGCTTCCAAAACTGATTCTTGCTTCACAATTGCCTCATGTGCAAATCCTAGAAGAGAAGCTATATGGGATCCAGGTTCACATTTAGCAGCAGCTGAAAAGAAAAAGAATCATATTATTATTATTATTATCTATTTCAAGACAGGGTCTTGCTCTTTCACCTGTGCTGGAGTGCCCTGGTGTGATCACAGGTCACTGCAGTCTCTTCCTCCCAGGCTTATGCAATTTTCCCACCTCAACCCCAAGTACTTGGAACTACAGGCATGAGCCACTGCACCTTGCAAGTTTTTGTATTTTATGTAGGGTCAGGGTTTTGTCATTTTGCCCAGGTTGATCTCAAACTTCTGGGCACCAGTGATCTGCCCGCCTCAGCCTCCCAAAGTGCTGTGACTACAGGCGTGAGCCAACATTCCTGGCCAAAGAATTACATTCTATATACTTCATAGGTAACAAGTGTTAAGTCAGTAAAAAAGAGTTGAGAACTTTTTCAGTGTTAATAAGAATAAAAAAGACATATGACTACAATGCTAAGTTATTATTAGATAATAATTTGCCGATAGTTGCACACTGAATTAATGATCATTGCGGTTGAGTATCACAGCTTCTGGTTTTCTCATTCTTCACTCATTTACTCAACAACCATGTGCTATGGTACTAGACTACGATAAGCCCTGGAGTTACAAGATCAAGATATACAGTCCGCCCCTCAGCAATCATATGCTATAACCTTAAAAAATAGATAAATAGGCAGTTTCCATGCCAAGTCATAGACACCCTGACACGTATAAAACAGGGCACTATTAGAACATAGGAGGGACACCTATCCCAGTTTTGACTCGATACTGTAGGCTTTTTGGTGGAGGCATGGTTAGTGGATGCCTGAAGACACGAAAAACAGATTGGCACAGCCAAGAAGCAAGCGCAAAGAGCTGGAGGTGAAGGAAGAGCACCGTGGACTTCTGTGCAGTTCAGTTTGGCTGGATGCTAGAACAAAGGGCAGAATACAGTAAGTGGTGAGAGATATGCCTGAGGAACTTGACAAGAACCAAATGAACATGGGTGTTTATATTCCATGATAAGGAATTTGGAACTTTTCCTGACGGCAGAAGGAAACCAATGACACTGTAAATGACTGGGGATTTGGATAAATTCCTAGACACTTACACCCTTCCAAGACTAAACCAGGAAGAAGTTGAATCCCTGAATAGACCAATAACAAGGTCTGACATTGAGGCAGCAATTAATAGCCTACCAACCAAAAAAACCCAGGTCCAGATAGGTTCACAGCCAAATTCTACCACACATACAAAGAGGAGCTGGTACCATTCCTGTTGAAACTATTCCAAACAATACAAAAACAGGGAATCCTCCCTAACTCATTTTATGAGACCAACATCATCTTCATACCAAAACCTGGCAGAGACACAACTAAAAAAGAAAATTTCAGGCCAATATCCATGATGAACATCGATGCAAAAATCTTCAATAAAATACTGGCAAACTGATTGCAACAGCACATCAAAAAGCTTATCCATCATCATCAAGTAGGATTCACCCTGGAGATGCAAGGCTAGTTCAATATACACAAATCTATAAATGTAATGAATCACATAAACAGAACCAAAGACAAAAAACACATGATTATCTCAATAGATGCAGAGAAGGCCTTCGATAAAATTCAACAGCCCTTTATGCTAAAAACTCTTAATAAACTAGGTATCAATGGAACATATCTCAAAATAATAAAAGCTATTTATGACAAACCTGTAACCAATATTATACTGAATGGGCAAAAACTGGAAGCATTTCCTTTGAAAACTGGCACTGCACTAGGGTGCCCTTTCTCACCATTCCTATTCAACATAGTATTGGAAGTTCTAGCCAGAGCATTCAGGCAAGAAAAAGAAATAAAGGGTATTCAAATAGGAAAGGAGGAAGTCAAATTGTCTCTATTTGCAGACGACATGATTGTATATCTAGAAGACCCCATCATCTCAGCCCAAAATCTCCTGAAACTGATAAGCAACTTCAGCAAAGTCTCAGGATACAAAATCAATGTGCAAAAATCACAAGCATTCCTATACACCAATAACAGACAAACAGAGAGCCAAATCATGAGCAAACTCCCATTCATAATTGCTATCAGAATAAAATACCTAGGAATACAACTAACAAAGGACGTGAAGGACCTCTTCAAGGAGAACTACAAACCACTGCTCAAGGAAATAAGAGAGGACACAAACAGATGGAAAAACATTCCATGCTCATGGTTAGGAAGAATCAATATCATGAAAATGGCCATACTGCCCAAAGTAATTTATAGATTCAATGCTATCCCCATCAAGCTACAGTGACCTTCTTCACAGAACTGGAAAAAACCACCTTAAACTTCATATGGAACCAAAAAAGAGCCTGCATAGCCAAGACAATTCTAAGCAAAAAGAACAAAGCTGGAGGCATCATTCTACCTGACTTCAAACTATACTACAAGGCTACAGTAATCAAAACAGCATGGTGCTGGTACCAAAACAAAGACATATACCAATGGAACAGAACAGTGGCCTTGGAAGTAACGCCACACATCTACCACCATCTGATCTTTGACAAACTGGACAAAAACAAGCAACGGGGAAAGGATTCCCTATTTAATAAGTGGTGTTGGGAAAACTGGCTAGCCATGTGCTGAAGGCTGAAACTGGACCCCTTCCTTACACCTTATACAAAAATTAACTCCAGATGGATTAAAGAGTTAAACATAAGAACTAACACTATAAAGACCCCAGAAGAAAACCTAGGCAATATCATTCAGGACATAGGCATAGGCAAGGACTTCATGACTAAAACACCAAAAGCAATGGCAACAAAAGCCAAAACTGACAAATGAGATCTAATTAAACTTAAGAGCTTCTGCACAGCAAAAGAAACAATCGTTAGAGTGAACCAGTAATCAACAAAATGGGAAAAAATTTCAGCAAGCTACCCATCTAACAAAGGGTTAATATCCAGAATCTACAAAGAACTAAAACAGATATACAACAAAAAATACCAACCCATCAAAAAGTGGGCAAAAGATACGAACAGACACTTTTCAAAAGAAGACATTTATGTGGCAAAAAAACACATGAACAAATGCTCATCATCACTGGTCTTTAGAGAAATGAAAATCAAAACCACGTTGAGATACCATCTCATGCCAGTTAGAATGGTGATCATTAAAAAATCTGGAGACAGATGCTGGAGAGGATCTGGAGAAATAGGAACACTTTTACACTGTTGGTGGGAGAGTAAATTAGTTTAACCATTGTGGAAGACAGTGTGGCAATTCCTCAAGATCTAGAAATAGAAATTCCATTTGACCCAGCAATCCCATTACTGGATATATACCAAAAGGATTATAAATTGTTACATTATAAAGACACATGCACATGTATGTTCACTGTGGCACTTTTTACAATAACAAAGACTTGGAACCAACCCAAATGCCCATCAATGATAGACTAGATAAAGAAAATGTGGCACATATACACCATGGAATACTATGCAGCCATAAAGAAAGGATGAGTTCATGTCATTTGCAGGGACATAGATGAA